CTTATTTCACTTAGCATAATGCTCTCTCATTCCATCCATGCTGTTGCAAATGGTAAAAAAGTTCCTTCTTTTTTTTATAGCAGCATAGTATTCTATTGTATAGATGTACCATAGTTTTTTAATCCACTCATTTGCTGATGGGCACTTAGGCTGTTTCCAAATCTTAGCTATTGTAAATTGTGTTGCTATGAACATAGGAATGCATATACCCCTTCTGATTGGTGTTTCTGGTTTCTTGGGATATATTCCTAGAAGTGGGATTACTGGGTCAAATGGGAGTTCCATTTTGAACTTTTTGAGGCAACTCTATACTGTTTTCCACAATGGCTGCACCAGTCTGCATTCCCACCAGCAGTGCACAAGGACGTTTGGACCATTTTTAAGTGTACAGTTCAGTGGTAGTAAGTACATTTACAATGTTCTGCAACTATAACCACTGTCTAATTTCAGAAACTTTTTATCATCCCAAAGAGAAACTCTGCACCCATTAAACATAGATTCCCATTTCATTTTCCCCTAAGGCCTGGGAACCTCTCCTCTCCTTTCTGTTTCTATGACTTTACCTAGTTTAGGTACCTCACACAAGTGGAATTATACATATTTGTCCTTTTATGCCTGACTTATTTTACTTAGCATATCCTTGGAAATTCTGGACAGCTCTCTGGAATTTGGCTGTCCCAGTGTCTTGGATACAAATTTCTGGAGTATGTGCCATAATGTTCCATTATATTTTTAAAAGAGGCTTTTGCTCTGTCACCTCTTGAAATGGTGAATAGAAGTTCCTCTCCAAAAAGCTACTGTGCACATTTATAATACAACTTCCACTGCAACAGTTGTGTGATGATGATTCTGATGGTGGTTTCAGCTTTTGCCAAAGGCCTTACCTGAGGAATTGTGGCTCCTGCAGTACTGTTCCACCACCAAGACACCCTACGTCACGCACTCCTGGCCATATAGAGGCCCCTGGAAACCCTTCTTTATCTGACAGAACACCAGGGCTTCTCGAGCTTGACTAATTGGGACCCTGTCTTGTGAGCGCTTGCCACATATCAAAACACTTCTTCATTTTAATGGCTTTAATAAAATTTTTTATATGTCCCGATTTTTTTTTATCATTAGATTCAACAGACATAAAATTACCCTGCCAAATTGCTGTAATAGGTTCTAAATGCTTATTCCCAGTTTCTATAATTATCTCATTGTGGCCCAGTGGCACATCATCCCCAGACCACACACTGAGTAGTCCCCTTCCATGAAAGTGTCACATGGGAGGTACTTTGCTTAGAAGTATGTTTTGATAGATTTTTTTGAAACATATTTTCTCTCAAAATGACTTTCCCTCATGATTCTTGACCCTCTTGTACTGTTTGTTTTCTGGATCTAATCACTATTACCCAGCTTCTGGAGAAGAGGCTGTCTTCCCATTGTTTGGCCTCAGATTTGTGTTAGGAACTCTGATCTGAAGTAATGAGTCATTGGCTAGAATTCTTATTTGGAGCTTTGCAGTGGTCAAATCTGGTTCTCTCAAGACACTGTGCTAGAGTTCTGTTGTATCCATTCCCAAGGCGAGTCACCAATTCGCCGCTGAAGAAATCCTCTGGGCTACCTTGCTGAGCTAAATGATGCAGTTCTGCAACCTATGTACCCATTCCCAGCCAACTTCCTGGTCTTAATAATAATATTTAAATCTCTGAACAATTCCTGATGTCTTCAATAATTCTACAGGTTAGTTCCATGTTGAGTCTTAAGTGGCAGGTAAGTCTTAAGGGAAGCTGGGATCATGAGAAATCTTACCAAGGCCCATCTTTAGGCTCTATAGGTAGGCACTACTACAGTATACTTCTGCTTAGAAGGTCATAATTAAAGTAAGAAGATGGCCTCCTAGAGTATGAATTTCAGGATTCAGGCCATTGGACTTCAAACACCTCAGCATAGCAGGAGTGCACACAATCCGGGTGTTGGCATTCAGAATGGGGTTCAGTTCTTCCTCTGCTATTTATAATCTCTGTGAGTCTGAGCAGATACTTAACCTCTCAGAACCTCATGGATTACAATGTTAGGAGAATTAAATGAGAGTGCGTATAGAGCTCGGAGCCTGATGAATATATAGCAAGCACTCACACCTGGGTCTCTGTCTTCTCTATGATTTCTCTGCTGTGGTCCAGAAAGCAACTTATGAATGCTCAGGTTATAGGTGGAAAGCAGTCAATTGCTTCACAGAAGTGGCTGAGGTTTACACTGCCTGCTGTTGCACTTTTTTTTTTTTTCCTGGTGAGTCTGTAGTCCTGGTCTCTTAAAGCGATTATGTTTGGTAGCAGTAAACAGGCTTTTAGCAAAATGGCTCTTTAATCCTGTTCAAGCATATTCTGCACTCACAGTAGAAATGCAGATAAAAACGAAAATAAGATATCACTTTTTAGCTATTGGTTGAGCAAAAATTAAGAGTTTGATACCATGCTGGGTTAGGGAGGGTACTGAACAGCAGGCATCGGGTGGGGGTGAGGGAGTAAATTGGAATAGTGTTTATGGAGAAGAATTTAGTAGTTTCTATTAAAATCCCAAATGTATATTTTACTTCTAGAAGAGTATTTATGCTTGCTCACATGCAAAATAAAGTGCTTACTTATATAATATCATCTTGAAGGTATACTTTTAAATGATAGGTGCAAGTGGGGGGGCAATGTGTATAGTTTGTATAGTGTTTATGTATAATAATAAAAGAAACTATGCTAATTAGACTATACAGCCAAACAACCTTCCAGTGTAGTTGCCACGGTGGGGGTTGACGCATAGGCAGTTAGGGGCAATTAGGCAGGCAGGTGAGTTGTTAGTAGACAGTGGTCCTGGATTGCAAGTGGTATGTCCGACTGCTGGTTAGGCTGCATAGATTGGGCCTAAACCAGCAGTCAGACATCCCCCGAGGGGTCCTGGATTGCAAGAGGGATACTCTCCACCCCGAGCATGAATTTTGTGCACTGGGTCTCTAGTGTTAAATAAGAAAATTAATTCAGCTATATAAAAAAGAATATTTTGGGTTGACCCAGACATATTTAACTGTGGAAACACAAAGAAAAGGAAATGGGAGCACAGTGTTTGCAGGAATGTGTAATACTTTTTAGTCTTCTTTGTAGGTGTGCAAAATGGGTCTCCCACAGCTCTTCTCTCAGAGCACTCACTGCATACTGCAATTTCTGGCTTCCCTGTCTGTTCCTCCTAATACTGTAATCTTAGGTAAAGGAATAATGCCACATTAAACCTAAATATCCTGGAAGCTGGTGACAAGACTGAGCGAATAGTACATGCTCAATAAATGTAGATGGATTGAGCAAAAGCATAAAATGCAACCAGTGTTTACAGTTAACATGAGGGCTTTCACATGCTTTATCTTGCTTAGCTGACTTCTGATATTTCCATTCAGATAAAGAGAACATGTCTTGTGAGTCCACTTTGGCTGTTCTCTGCCCATTCAGTACTCTTCCTCAAGGGAGCAGAGGGATCTATCTGATGGGTAGTCTGGGCAGAATGATCTGAACTTGCTCAGCTCATCATAACCCTCCTATTTCTTTGTGGGAGTGACCTATGCATCAAGCATCTGAGGTTTCCTCTGCTCCTCTAACCCCAAGCCTTCATTTGACATTCTCTCTAGACATGTGGAGGCCTCCCCGGACCAGGGTGGCCTGGGGCTCAAGGAGTCATCTGCCTCCCTCTGGGGTGCAGGGGCAAGCCCATTGTCTCTCATTCTAGTCTGTTTTCTAGCCTGGCTTCTCTCTGGTCTCCATCTTTTTCATTGTTTTGTTTTTCTACTTATTTAGTGCCTGGGTGGGGAAGAGATAAGATATTTTTTTGATGTGCCCTTGGCAGCCCCAATACGTGATTTGACTATTCTTCTCATTTAATTGAGGAGGAAACTGAGACTCTGGTCAAACGGCCTGATATCTGCTCCTCTGACTCTCCAAACTGTGTTCATTGCATTTGAAACATTGTCTGAGATGTCTTCCCACTGTCTGGACGACAAGTGAAACCAGAAGATTCCCACCCAGAGTGGAAGGAGGAACTCAGGAATCTTGAAGTTCCTCCTAAGCCCAAACCTATAATTCACCTCTGGGACTGGCATAATGATGTGTCCATTTCTTTGTTATCCTTCCCCACGGGGCACATGCTAAGTGCTCAGTAAGTGGATGCTGACCACCAGCCCGATGGGTTAGCACGAGAGGCCTTCCAGAAGAGGAACAGGCTGTATAAACATTCACTGCAGATGGTTGCAAAGGAGCTCTGAAGCCATGTCTTCAGCATGGGAAGCACAGAGCTCTGTTTTTCTCAGCCACACCCATAGGCGCAGGTCAAGACGCGATCCATCACATACACCATCCTCAGACGTGAGGACTGTCAACACAAGCACGAGGGCAGGAGCTGGTGGGCTGCCTGACCACCGGCTCCATCCCCTGCTCTGGGGAGCTGAGCCAGGCTCTGTCACAGCATGCAGTTTCTCAACTCAGCTCGGCTTTGGAAAACAGTTTCCCTTTACTTTTTATGTGTTTTCTGGGCTTTCAGACCCCTGGGTATTTTGAGGGAAACATAGTCCATATGTTTCTGATTTACTTACATTAAACTTGCCAGAAGTTTCTTTTGTAAAATCGATTTCACGTCTGGGAAACCTTTTCTGCATTTTTTTTTTTAAAGGCCTCTACCCTGGATCTTCACACTAAAAAGGAAGCAGAGAATTGAAACAATTATTAGGATATACTTGAGGCCAGGAAACCCCCTCTGCTTTTGTTACCTGAGCATTTCTGGGAAAAGGTGAAACTAGAAGAAACCTGTTACAGAGGCAATTGACCTAGTTACCCACTTCCCGTTTCACGTGTGGACACAATCTTTACAGACGAACATCTTTCTTCAAAGCATTGTGTGCAAGATGTTGGTTTTCTAGTTAAAGTAATCTTTACTAAGTGTCTCCCGTCTGTTTTCTATTCAGAAATCTCTGAATTTGAGTAGATTCTAAGTATGCTAAAATGCTTTTTATTTATTTGTTCTTTGCTTTGGTGAAGAGAGTGACATAAATCCAAGGAAAAATAAATGTTCATAAGACTTTCAAACTACACTACTAACTTTCAAATGCTACATATTATTATTTTTATTAACAATAAACGTCAAAGCACTGAATAGTTGTTGGGAGAGCTGAAGTGGCGGGAGAAAGGATATACTGGGGAGAAATAGGGACAACCCACGTAGGAAACAGGAAAAGCAAATTATAGCTCGCTCACCCAACATACACATGAATTTAAGAAGCTGGAACTCTGTTTTTATAGTCCTCCACATTCCTAACCTAGAAGACTGGACTCAAGTCAAATGCTAGTATGAAGACTGAGCCTCTCCCTGCTCTTCCCAGCTCCCCCACCCCTCACCCCCCTACTACCAGCTGGCTGGCTGTAGGAACCACATACTGACTGTTACCGATTGTCAGCTCTCAGTTTTCACCTTACACTGTATAACATTTTCATGAAGTGAAGCTTTGATTTTGGAACCTTATTTTCCACTTAGCTCCCTTTGCAAAATTGAATGTGTGCTTTCACTGAGAGGTGTTTATGCTGAGATGTTCCAGAAATTACAAGCAGTGAGAGATGATGTGACAAGCAGGTAAAATGAAAGGTCCTTGGGAGAGACTTTGAAAGTGGGAGCATAGGTTTCAGATCAGGCACTGTCTTTTAACCTCCGGATTGCATACAATTCCCCAAAGGGGTGGAGGTGATGGGAAAGATGAGGGAAGGAGAATGACAAAGAACTTGATTTTAAGATGCCTTTTGTTCTTAGCAGGACATCTTGCCCTTGGCTTCTTCCTTTGAGCAAAGGCTGCTAGCAACCCTTAGGGCTGTAGTCATACCCATCATTTTCTCAGTCCTTCTCAGTCTTTTGGGGAAGAAAAAAATTGAATCATGTACTTTTGATCAAAGAAAGGGCCATGATGGTCCTGTTTTCAAACATTTTTATTTGACATTTGAAGAAATGGAGACCCAGAAATATTAAGTGACTTTCCCATGGCCACACAGCTGGTTAGTGGCTAACCTAGGACTCAATCAAACCGAAGTCTGTTTATTTTATACCAGAGCCTTTTCCATCGCTACAAATGCCAACTTAAATGTCTTCAGAATATACATAAGATGCCCAGAATTGCACAATATTATTACCCCTTTATAATTTGTTATTAGACTTTTAAAATGTTATTAATGTCAACTTTCAAGTAATTACACATTACTGGATATTACTTCATAATATTTCAACCTGAAATTTTGTATGTCGAGCTGCTATAAATTAGAGATTCCTGTCCTTTCCCCAAGAATAGACTGCTTTTTTTGCTTCTTTAAAAGGGTTTATTTTTAAATATGAGAAATGGTGTTTTTCTCCCGCCCAAATTAAACCAGATGAAACCTAAAGGTTCATTTCTACTCTTGGAGTTATGTCCTGGCACACTTAGAAACCTGCCTCAGCAAAATGTATATGCAAATCCAGGGGTTCTGAGCTTGGTTCTGTCACTCCCTCTCCAGGTGAATTTGTACACACTGCCTGGGTTTCCATTATTTGAAGAAGGCAGTATTTGGATTAGAGACACAAATTTCTGGCATCGTATCCAAAGCAGATATTTTTCTCTCAGTTTCTTTGGGGGAAATGTGGGAAGGAAAAAAAAAAGTTTTAATAGCTAATCTGGAATGCTAGTGGCCCCAATCTCCCACGTAGGAAAAGAAAACCAAATACGACAGGTAACCTGATCACAACATTTAGTGACAATTTTACCAGGTGGCACATGGTAATGCTATTGTTCTCTGACGGTGCCATGTGACGCGCCTTGCTGGAACATTTGTTTTGACACAGTGTGCTAACATGTTATTGAATTCTTGACATCGGCATTTCCCAGGCAATGCTGAACTCAAATCCTCTCTAAAGAATCCTTCCAGATTGATTCCATACACGGGCTTGCGTGAGGGGTGTGCATAAACATTGTCATCATGTGTCTTAGGTACAGGGGACCACGCGTTCAGCTGCGTTCTATCAGGCAAACCACCGTTCTAAATATAATGCAGAACAATGCCATTTTCTTGAAACAGGAAATCGCCACTGGCTTCTCAGCATGGTGGTAAGGACCACATGCTTTTAGGCCACTTCTCCATCATTCCTGTGACCTAGTTTTCGTTATTCAGTGAGTCATAGTACTGTACATGTTATTGTGTGCCAGTTACGATCCAGAAGAGAAATATGTAGTTGGGTTTTCATTGGTCCAAATCTCTTGCACAGTTGTCAGCCTTTTTTTTTTTTTTTTTTTTTAATTGACCAGGGGCTCTGTTTTGGGTGCTGCTGCTATAAAGCTTTATGTACAAGAACGAACTACCTATGTTAAGGTAAAATGCTTTTGAATGTACTTGAATGGATGTTGAAAAATTAAGATTACAGAGGATCTGCATTGCCAAAGGTCAGGAAAGTACAGACTCCAAGTCAAGTCCTCATGCCCCTGCTTTCCCGACAGGAAATGACAACAGGAATCAGACAATGGAGAAAAAAGTTAGGAGAGGGTGATATTTCCGTTGTCGCTGAGACCTCTGAGACACCTCTCCTCTGCTTCCTCACTTCAGAGGAGTTGACTACTGGGCAAAGCCCAACATGTGCTGGTCTTCTAGGAAACTTCTTTTTTAAAAGACAAAGAAAAGAAAGAAAGCTAGCTGAGTCACATTCCTGTGGATGGCGGAGCCCTAGAATGGAGCTGTGCAAACTCCAGGGGCTGAGGTGCCTGCAACCACCTTGATCCTGAACTGCCTCCCAGCTCTAGGCCATGGCAGGCCCTTCCTTATTATAGCTCTTGTTCTTAGATTTTCATAGAATCCCCTTCACCTTGCCACTCTTGGGAACATGGAGTGAAAAAGAACACAAGTTTCAGAGTTAGGTGGACTTTAACTTTTAGCTCACCCACATTCTACTCTGTGGCCTTCAATATATTAACTTCTTTGAGCCTCAGTTTCTTTACCTTTGAAATATAGGGGCAAGGATAACAACTCTTCAGCATAATGTGAGAAATTGATGACAATATATGTAGAAACAATTTATTATTCTTTGCACATAGTAGATGCTCAATAACCTTTTTTTAACTTTTGCAACTGCCTATATCAAAGACACCAGATATTGCTTGGTTTTACAAGTCCTTCTGTTTGTGGATGTTGGGATGTCCAACATTTCAGAACGTTGTTTGAGAGTCAAGAGCCTAGTACTAGAGAGCCTTTGCTGTTGACTCTTTCATCTCCCAAATACCAGATACTGTCTGCTTCTCTGCACTTTCTTTCCCTTAGTTGATCTCTTGAGATTTGACTCTTTGCCTTCCTGAAACTGCTATACCAAGGAGGTCTCTCTGAGTCCCAACTATCCCTCCTTTCTTCCAGACTTAGCTTCAGTATTACCCCCAAATTCTCTAGTTACTTCCGAGTGTAATAATAGCAGCTACTATTTATTTAATGCTATGAGGCATTATGCCAATACATGATGTCACTTAGTCTCATTTAGCATGATCTTATAACAACCCGGAAGAGGAGGATGCTTTTATTATCTCCTCTATCTGATAGTCAGGTAGCCAAGACTTGAGAAGGTTGTGAAACTTGGACAGTATAGGTGACAGAATGAGGGTTTGAGTCTAGGACTGTTGACTTCAAACTGATGCCTCGCCACCATGTGTGAGGGCTCTTTCCATACCACCTGGTCACTGGACTCGCCTGAGGCAGCTGTTAGGGTGCAGGAGGGCGTGGACTCTCCATCCTGAAGGGGGAACAATAGAAGCCACTCTGCCGAAACATTCAATGGCTGTGAACAGGATGCAATTAAGTCTATAATCTGTTATGATCACCTGAAGGATCATTTGGAAATGAGAACACTTTCCAACGTATAGTTCAGGTGATGTAGGTGTTCATGTTTGAGATCCCTAATGTTTGTACTTACCACTTCAGTTGGATGAGCAGGAAATATCTCTAAGTGACTTCAAAATGAACAATTGGAAGAGCCCAAGTGACCCTTCCACCTCTCAGATAATAGGGTTTGGCACACACTAGAGCTTCATATGCAATAGCTGTGACCTTCCTTGTAGGGTAAGAGCAGATGGCTTTGGCCTTTGGGAGGATGCTACTTGCTGATAGAGCGGTGACAAGTTGGAAAGCTCCCTTCTGTTCTGACCCCAAGCAGGGTGATATCACCTCCTTCTGTCTGAAGTTCTACAGCATTGGGGTGAGGGGGCAACATGGAGATGTGGGTGGTAGGATTTAACTGCTGATTTAGAAGTAACTCAGGGAAGCCAGTAAGCCAGGTGGTCAGTTGATACTTAATAAAAAAACAAGGAAAAAAGGAAAGAGAGAAAGAGGAGGCTTAAACTTCTATAGATAGAATGTACATATAATCCCTCACCCCTTTGATTACCAATGTCCAGGGAGAGTGTCCCATCCTCTCTTATCTAAGGGACCCAAACTTCACCAGAGACCTATGATTTAGATATTCAAAACACACACCACAATTTTCAATGTGGAGATGGAAACGATAGCAACATTGGGAGGAAGACTTATTCTTCTCTTTATGACTTCAACCCCTTTCCCCACTGACCCAGTTGCATCAATGGATCAGCATTTGCATGAGTGCCCAGGCGTTCTCTGCTCTCCCCGCTTCACACAGTGGAACTCCCGAAGGGATCATCATTCTCCTTGGTTCTCTTACCCTCGGCCAGGCCCCAGGCGGTGAGGGGGCTGCAGCTGTGTTCCTTGTAACTGGTGCCTGTGGGAAGTGGGAGGACTTCGATAAAACACTTTGTTGGACTCAGCTCCCCTAGTGAGGGATTTTTGATAAAAGATGCAATAAAACCAGACATTTGGGTGTTCGTGTTTGTGTTTGGGAGACAAGAAGCTTGTTTGGAGACTTGAGAACGAGGCTCTGCTCTTTGTACAACAACAGAGGGAAGTTTGGCCATTGGGTGGGCAGCTTCCTTCAGGGAGCAGATGG